AAGATAATAGGTATCCTAGCCAGTCACAGTGGCTCATGCCACTAATCCCAGCACTTTGGGAGGTGGAGGCAAGAGGATGGCCTGAGCTCACGGGTTCGAGACCAGTCTGGGCAACCTGGAAAGACCTGGTCTCTATAATAAATCAAAAATTAGCCGGGCATGGTGGCACATGCCTGTGGTTCCAGCTACTTGGAAAGCTGAGGCTAGAAAGGTCCACCTGAACCCAGCAGGTTGAGGCTGTGGTGGCCGTGAGCGTGCCACTGCACTCCAGCCTGGGCATCAGAGTGAGACTCTGACACACACACACACACACACAAAAGGCAATATGTATCCTTATAACGTAGGCTTCTTTAACTTGGCTCCTCTCTTACTTGCAGCCAAAAGCAGCCTAACCCTTAAGTCCCAAAAGGCAGAGCTCCAGAGATGAAAGTGCTCTGGATTTTGAGTAAAATGACCTGGGTTCAAATTCCTTTATATGCCCTGTGACCCAAATTGCTATATCTCTCTGAACCTCATTTTCCATATCTATAAGATTGAGATAATACTCAGTAACACATTAACATACATAAAATGGAGACAACGCAAGATAATTATGGACATCACATGAGATCGTGTGGACGCAACCACTCTGTCAATAGCAATATTTTACCCAAATGCAATCTGTCTAGGTAATAATTAAGCCACAGAATTTTTAAACCATCACCATTCATCTAACCTTTATTTAACAAAAGAAGAAAATTGACTCTAAATGTCAAATGACTCACTCAAGAGAACACAACTGGTAGGTGACATAACTAAACCATACATCTAATTTCCTAATCAAATGCAGTTATGTCACCCTCATGTTGACAGGCAGGGAGCTAGATGAAATATCAGACAAGTTAGCACTCATCTGTTCAACTAGTGTTTAATGAACACATATTACATGTCAGGTGCTAGTCTAAGCATTAAGAAGTCAGTGGTAAACAGCATCAACAACAACAAAATGTTCCTATCTTCATGAATTTAATAGTCTAGAAAAGGAAATGATTCAATCTGCCTCTATATTATTGAGTGTCTACTATGTGCAAAGCACTATACTAGGATTTCTATTCAAATACAAATTTCCAGCCATCTCCAACAAGGTCAGCCATGTTTGTCAGGCTTTGTGAAAAAATGAATAATGTCAAAAGTCTATATTTTACCCAAAGTCAGAATTTAAAATGGCAAGTCCATGAGAAAGCGTTGTGAATAACCATGCCAGCATCTGAAAAAGTGGGCAGAAGATGGCTAAGACTCCACTCTAATTGAAGCAGCAAGGCTGAATGAAAGAGGGTTAGAGCCAAAGCTCATCTTTCTACAACATTCAGATATCAAGGGTTGGCTCAATTGGTCAATTGAAAAAGGCCACTAAGGAGCATTTGGCAGCTCCTTCCCTTCCCCAGCCTCTTTCTGGTGTTCTAGACCCCCCTTTCACTCCCTGTCAGCATGGAATTCCTCTTCCACCCTACCAAAACATTCATACACAAATGAAATTATGGGACAGTGTCCCAGACTCTGCGAAAAGAGACCGAGTTAGTGACTTCTCGATCTCCTCCTGGAATTGGCCACCAGTCTGCTGAGACTGGTGATGTGTTTGAAATCTTCCTTTGCCCGAATACCACCAAAATTATATCATTTGAAAAAGGAATACTTTAAAGCTGTTATTGTGCAAAAGTTATTTCCTACAGTCAATGGGGGGGTGCAAAGATTTGAAGTTGGAGGGTAGCAAGAATACTCTGCCTTCTCCCTTGTGTGGAAAGCACACTGAGAAGGATCAAAAGACAAGTTCCTTCACCACCAGGTCCTGGAATCAGAGCACAACCAGGTATTTCCCCCTTAGCTTCTGGCTTGGTTCAGACTTCATCTCTTGATGCATAGGCATAATTTGGAAGTACTATAATCTGAAATATAAGAATACAGTGTATAGATGCTAACAAAACACTCATGAGTAGTTTCCCTGAAGGCAAACACTACGAATCCTGAGAGCTGAAATGGCCCCCAGTGGCCTGCAGATTGGGCATTCCAATTGGCTCCAGAATGCCAGCCTCCCTGCCAGACTCTGGATATATTAAGTTTGCAAACAGGCAGGGAGGGCCACTTTGGCCATTTAGATTATGAATCCCAATTGGCCTTCAATCCCTGGTTCAATCCCCATTCTTTGGATTTATCTCCTTCAGTGTCTGGAAATTTCACTGAAAGCTCAGCTATTTCAACTATGTAAGATGTCAAAGATATATGTGAGCTTTGGATCCAGACAGATCTGGATTTGAATTCCAACTGATCAATCTCTTTCTTCGACATGGGCCTTGGATAAGCCACTTAAACTCTTGGTGTCTCTAATTTCGTATGATGGGAATAACACCTACCAGAGGGTTTGTGGTAGAGATCAGCTATGAGGAGTGGAAAAGGGTGGCACATGAAAGTGCTCAAGAAATAGCACCTAGAGCTAGTCACATGGTCCCAAACAACAGTCCTGAAGGTTTCCTGCATCAGCCAGCACTTGCAGTCACACTCCGGCCTCGCTAGAGGAATCTGTCTGAGCAGCTCATTTTTCCTTCAATCCGAGATGCTCACTTACTAATGAGCTCCCAAGGATGTGTGGCCTGAGTTTTCCCACTTATTTTGGGCAGGCGTACTCCAGGAGGGAACAGGACAACTAACACATATCCGAGAGCTCCTGTTGCTCCTACAGAACCTGCAGAGCCAGACAGGCATCGGGGCTGAGAGCTCCTACCTCAGGCAGGCAGATGTGGGCTATGCAGGGAGGGTGACATTCTGGGACAGTCCAGGCAAAGTAAGGAAGGAGGGAGGGAGGGAGGGAGGGAGGATGGAAGGAAGTCACCAGAACAAGTGCTGGTGACTCCACATAGTTTGGTTTGCTTTACTTTCATTTAATTCTTTTGCTCTCACTCTAAGCAAGATTAGGGATCTTTGGAACCCGATGCCCGAAAGTTCAATTTCAATTCCTGGCTTAGAACACTCTAGGAAGGTATGGGGTCCAAAATTATCAAAACAAAATATTTTAATCACTTGAATTGGTTAAGTAACAATCATCATTTGAGGGCAGACAGGGGCAGGAAAAGGCGCACCACAAAGTAAAACATCTGATTTTTAAAATCAATGCCCAAATCAACATTTTGAAACATAACATTTTAACCTCTTTGGCATCAGTTGGGCCATAAGAACTCTCCAAACTGTTGTTCGACTGGCTACAATGTATTGCTTCCCAGAACACCAGACAACAAACCCATGTGCTCTGGAAACTACTTATCTGTTCTAAGGAAGTCTTGGTCCCCAGAGGAGGGAAGAAAATGTCACTCCAAGTGGGACAGGGCCAGCAGAGGGCTAGGAGACAGCAGAGACCTCAACAGCCTCACTGGGTCCTCCCTGGCTCCCTGCTGCTGGCCTCATTTATGATGGGTTAAAGGACCTGGAACGCGCTTTAGGACTTGATGCAAAGTGCACCAACCATACTCTCTGGATCACAAGACAGTACATGCCAAGCGCTTCTGTGCAGCCCTCGTGGCAGCAGAAAAACTGCCTATCCTGCTAATCCTTTTATTATTAGGTTTAGCAGTGGTGCTTAGCTTGGAAAGAAATTCAAGCTCCTCCAGAAAATTCAATGGGAGTCTACTTTCCTGGGAGATCATGGGGCACCACGTCCCTGCCTTGAAACGTGTCCAACTGTCAGCTTACAAATTACTTGCAACTGTCCCTGTGTCACACACTCCCACTAGCAAACATTAAAAAGATTAAAAAATTTTTTTAAAAAAAGGAAACACCATTCATTCACTCCTGGTTCACACAGCTAGGAGACGAATTCCAGCCACTGGGAGATGCTGCACTTCTCACCTCCCACCCCGCGGGTGGTGTGCCCTGTATTTAAAAAGCAGCTCCAGAGATCAATAATTAAATCGATTTCGAAGTCAGAAGCTAATAGAGTTGAGCCCTGACACAGCCTTTCAGCCTGTGGGCGCTGAGTGGGACATCTTTGGGGTCACGAGAGAGGGGTTCCCACCTACCTATATGCACACGCACCGCAAATGCGCGCACGCACGCGCGCACACACGCGCGCACACACACTCTTGCAGCTCACACTAGATCTCCCGACAGCCCAAAGGCGCTTACTATCCGAGGATGAGGCTGCCAGCAAAGCTGCTTTCACCCCAACAACTCGCCTTCTCCTACAACTCGGGCGACAGCGAATGTCCACCAAGATGCCGAAGAGGGCTTTTCCCCAGGACCCAGGTTCCCGGAGGGCTCCCCACTTGCTGGCCTCACACGCCCTTTTCCGTTCCCTGAAACACTCCGACTTCACACGTTCCCTTCGAGGTAGCTCCAGTCCGACGCAGCGCGCGCTCCATCCTTCAAGGCTGGAGCTCAGGGCTGCCCGGCCTCTCTCACTCTGGGGAAACTTCGCCACTGCCTCACTAGAAGTAAAGACTGCCGGCAGGGGGGCGACAGGGAGCGGCAGGCAGGTTCTGGGGACCAAGCGAGGGTACCCTCGGAGCATGGGCGCGCGCGAGAGAAAAGAGTGAGCCCTGGCTGGTGCATGCCTTCTCCACGTGTTGGAAGGAAGGAAAGACCAGTGGGCGACACGCAGGAGCCTCTCCTGGCCCTCGGAGCTCCCATTTTCCGACGGAGTAGGGGCCAGAGGAGCCAGGGCTCTCCCCGCCCCCACCCCACCCCTAGGCAGCTGCCCAGCTACCCCAGCCTGGGCGCAGCGAGACGCGCGCGCGCGCGGGGTGCCCGCCCCGGGAAGGGGACCGGGCGCGGATAACGCGTGCCTGGCGCCTGCGGAGGACCATTCCCCCCTGCCTAGCTAGGGCCCCCAGGCTCAGAGGGCTGAAGAAGCAGCCTCGGGCTTTCCAGCCTGGCGCCCGGCCCCGCCCCGAGTGGGTTTCCTGTCCTCGCACGCCCAGCGCAGAGGCGCCCCCGCCCAGCTCCCGCGTGCGCCCCTCGCCCGGCGCCGCCCGCACCTGGATGTGGCAGGAGATCTCCGAGTCGTCCAGCAACCGGATGGTGCATTTCATCTCCTGGCTGAGCGATTTGATGCTGGAGCTCCGAAAGTGGATCATTTTCATGGTCCTCCCGCCTCTCCGCACACAGTGGCAGGAGGCGAACATGCACCGCGGCCCGGGGGAGCGAGCGGGAGGCTCGGGGCCGGCGCGGCGCTCGCCCGCGCGGACACACACCCTCGCGCGCGCACGGGCCGGGACACCTGGGCGCGGCTCAACCCCGGGACGGCG